GATGTCCCAATGTGTTAAGGCCGTCCACAGAATGTCCACAGTATGTTCAAAGTCTATAGGATATCGTGTGCTGTTTGGGTATTGTTTTAATAATATCCACAAAATTATAATGTAGGATCGTAATCATATTATTATATTTTTAACAATAACTCCTAAATAATAAATATTTCATAACTTTTAGTCTAGTATCGATTAACGAATGTAATCGTTAAGTTTGCAATGTAAACTATTCACTATTAACAATATTAATGTACAAAATGTAAATGAGTGCCATCGTACACTTTCTTCTCATATATATTATTTAATACGTAATAAACAATCTTATGTGATGAGTTAATTAAATATATTTACGCAGATTTATGATATATTTGATAATATTTATTATTTTTCAGATTGACGATAATAATGCGAATCACAGTAAGTCCCTTGAGATTATTAAATCGAAATTCTTGGAGCTTCTAAGTCAGATGTTACCATCGCAATCATTAAAAGTCGCGGTCCAGTATGGTTGGGCAGATATGAACGGGACAACACACCTGCAACAATAGCACAATTTTATGCTGACAATTTGTTCCATCCAGTTCCATTCCGAAAAATTATAACTTTGATACCGGAGGATGCGATACTCGTCCATATAGCGATTCAAAATGATTTTCAAACGATTATAGCAAAGTCGTTGGAATCAACAGTGATTTCACTGTGCAAACGCGACCAGAAACATACCATACAAATGTTTTTAGAAGGAATTGGTGATCTTTATAATATAGGTTTTCAGCCGCAGATTGCAAATTTATATCCACCAGTGCAATTTCCAGTTAGTCGCGGAACACCAATGATATCTCTTCTTGTTAGGTGTGTATGTGTGTTTATTTAATTACATGCGTACAAAAACGATTTTCATTTATTTTCGGTCTACAAATGTTACAGATTGGATCATACCGACGATTACCATGTTTATCAGTACAGAGGACAACACATAATTTCCAGTAGAGAAAGACCTGTCAGTATTACCACCGCTGACGAAGAGTTCGAATATTTCTCTGGTCATGTAATTGATGGAAAAAATTTGCTACCGGCGACAGGTTATTCTTTTTTAATTTGGCAAATGATTGGTTTGTTGAGTGGCATTGATTATTGCAACATACCGATTGTNGCATATGATTGGTTTGTTGAGTGGCATTGATTATGGCAACATACCGATTGTATTTGAAAATGTTAAATTTGTCCGCGCTACTAACGTATCGAAGAGAGATTATTTGAATTTAATTCTTATAATACAAGAAGGTAAATTGCTTATGTATTTTGGTCGCGATAATTTCGAAGAAAATTAACCCGATAAAGTTATATGCAAAGGAAGGCGCGGTTTATATGGTAATTCTTGCATGATATTTTTATAGGCACTAATAACTTCGAGATTATAGAAGATGACAACGTAATTGTCAGTGGATTCGCAAGGGTACCTAACGACATTGCGTATGAAAAACTACCTGTTCAATTTTTATCCAACAGTGGTGAAGATAATGAGTGCATGAACACAGCAGATATTTATAAGGAGCTACGACTCCGTGGTTATCAGTATACTGGTTTATTTCGTTTGCTGAAAAGCGCTTCTATCACTGGTAAAGTAGGGCACATCAGGTGGCCTATGAATTGGACAGCATTCATGGACAACATGCTACAAATGAAAATCCTATCGTTTGATCCAAGAAGTATTTGCGTGCCGACTGAAATTCGCAAATTAATAATCGATCCTGAATATCACATGAAACAATTGCACGATATTTCCGTTAAAAAAAAAAGTAAGTCTGCGTAACCCTCAAATATTTTCGTAAACAGTTGCAGATATATAAATGGACTTCATTACAAATCTGTGAATTTTATTACAGATTTGCCTGTACGTGTCTATGATTGTTTAGACGCCATAGTATCCGGAGGAATAGAAATTTGTGGGGTCAAAGCTACAGTCATATCTCGTCGATTGACCAGAGTACAAACCGTTTATGAGGAATACAGTTTCATTCCATATCGAGATAACGCCATGATGTCTTTG